GTCAATATGTGTGTTGAGAATACCATGTATAACGGGCCAGACTGGACAGACCCCCCCAAAGTCAGTGACCAAGCTCGAACCCGTGACCTGTGAGACTGTCTCTTATACACATCTAGATGTGTATAAGAGAGAGGTATTGGTGGGGGCAGTAGCAGGAAGAAGCTATTGGGCAGGGGGGGGGGAAGAGGTATTGGTGGCGGCGCAGGCAAGGTGTTGTATCTGTGGGAAGAATGTAGATGAGAGAAATGCGATCAGCATTCGTATGTTGTGTGGCAAGCAGGCCTTTCCATGCTTACACACTTGCAATGAACTCCAAACAAACGAATATCACCAGTTTCTTGAGCAAATCCAAGGTGCAGGCCCTCGGGGCCTGTCAAAAAAAAAACAAAGGAAGAAGAGGAGAACAAGGGAAAGGGAAAGAGTAGAGGGAAAAGGGAGAGGAGAGGAGGAGAAAGAAGGGAGGAGGTGAGGAGGAGAGAAGGGGAGGGGGGAGGGGGGAGGGGGAGAAGAGGAAGAGAGAAAAAAAGGACGAGGGGGGAAGGAAGAAGAGGGAAGAGGGAAAGGAGGAGGAGGAGGAGTGAAGGAAGAAGAGGAACAATCTAGGCACAGGAAAAGAGAAAAGGGAACTAGGCAAGCAGTGGCCAAAACAGGCAAAGCAACTAGAAGACAGGACGACGGAAAATTTCAAGACAAAGGGAGAAAGAGTTTATCAGCACCCCTAGCATTCACTCGGGTTGTATTTTTTTTTTTTTTTAGCAAAAAAACAACAACAAGAAAAAGGATTTACCACAAACAACAGGAGATGGCAAGGGACATGCTAGGTACTTCGTTCTCTTCCTTTGCTTTCAATATGAAGTCCTTTTCACATTGCAGTAATCTGCAATGAAGTACCTGGCCCCTGATGGCTGAGCCGTACACACATGCAATTCATAATTATCGATAAACAGATCGCCATTTCAAATCCTGCCGGATGCAATAATGATAGAGGTGACCAGCCATTAGGTAATGAAATTTGTGATAAAGACAGTAGCGAAGGGGGGATTCTGAAGAGGCCCACCATGATGCTCCCAGGTCCACTGGGAAACCAAAACTTCTGTCGGTATGGACGCGGCCGCCAATTCGATTCCTGGACTCCAGAACAGTGACCTGCCAAAAAGAACGACCATTCAAAAAAAAGTTGTGAAAAAAGGTAATCAACACCCTGTTGACAGAGGTGAAAAACACAAAAAATCCCAAAAGCGCAGACAATCGTCGAACAATTTGTGAAAGTACAACCTCCTTCAAAGAAAACGCCACTGTGTGCCTCGCGCATGCTGAGAAACTCAGACAAAGGACTCCTCTCTCTCTCTCTCTCTCTCTCTCTCTCTCTCTCTCTCTCTCTCTCTC